TTAGAATTATATTCATTTCACTAAGACATCATATAAAGATGACAATGCAACTCATAGAGACCGACTCACGACTCTATGCAGATGCAAATGCGGTACTGACTCGTTCAGCAGGTTCAATTGAAGAACCAAAATGGAACCATAGCTCGTTACCAAAGTAACTCCCTGTTGGGCCTACGATGTTCACCCATCGCTCACACCCCACATGGGAACATGATGTTTCAGGATTGCTCACACCCCACACGGGCACACAATCCGGTTGCTCACACCTCACAAGGGCACACAACTGTTCTGCAGATTCTCCACGGAATCAAAATAAACCATCGCTCACACCCTACAAGGGCACACGATCGTTTATGCAGATCCTCCTAGGGATCAAAGTAACTAAACTGTCGCTCACACCCCACAAGGGCACACGAGGTTTCTGCAGATCCTATGCGGGATCAGACACACAAGAATGCAATCATGATGCTACACATGCAACACGACTCTAATCACTCTTAAATGCACACATGTTTATAAACATATTCAAGCATTCTTCACATCATACAAGTACATACAAATATGCACATTCACATCAATATCACCATGCAATTCCATTTAATTCAAACAATTGAATAAAATTGCCAAACGACCACATACACATTCCAAAATTCATAATCTAGGATTCACGCCATACGACTACCCACAACACAACATAACTCAGAATGATCGATGCCTCGAGCAAGAAAATAATCAAAACTAAGTCGGAAATCCAACCTCGGATGGAAACATTAAAGAAAATACAACATGTCACACTCGCTACTCTGCTCGCTTAGCGAGCTCCTAGCGAGTATTCGCTACTTGTTCGCCTAGCGAACAAGCTCGCGAAGGCAAACAGAAGCCTCTGACTTTGTTCGCTACCTCGCTCGCTCAGCGAACCCCTAGTGAACCTTCGCTACCAGCGAACACCATAATATGCATTCTGTCCAAGTCTGGGACCATTCGCTACTGGTCGCTTAGCAAACGTTCGCGACCAGCTCGCCTAGAGAACATGCTAGCGAGTGTCTGCGAACTCAGAATTACTCCACTGTTCTTCCACTCCAAAACTCTTGGATTCACCCGATTAAATCCCAAATCATTCCAGTAACACATCTTAACATTACCCGACATAAATGTTATCACCTAATCTCAGTTTTAACAACAAAACTCGGGTTTTATCGATTAAATCCATATTATGCCCTAGAATGAAAAATGAGAAAAACTCTCCCTAACCCAAAACAAAATCAACAAGAACACATATAATCATACACATTGCAAGAATAATAAAGTTTCACACCCTTACTCAATCAATCGAAAGCTTAGAAGTGGATTCTTGATGATTCTAGGTTTTTCTCCTCTTCCTCCTCTTTTCTCTTCTCTTTCTTTCTTTCTCTTCTTTTTCTTTCCTTTGGGTTTCTATTCTCTCTATTCTTTCTCTTTTCCATTTATACTCTTTCTATTCTATTTCTCTCAAAATAACTACTAATCAAGGATTATCTAAAACACTCTCTAATTAATTCCCAAAACTCTCCAAATAATAAAATACTACAACATACACACATAACATACTAACACATAATTCCATAATAAAATAACAATTAACCAATAAATTAAAAGACTCAACAAAATAATGGGAAATTCAGAATCGGGGCGTTACACTGCACTCCAATAAGCTGATTCAAGAGAACTATCTTCATCTCCACTTCCATCAGCACTATATTCTAGTCTTAGTTTCTTGCCAGGAAACTTGCTAGAATGAAGACAAATCCAACTAAATCTCCTTTTGAGCTAGTGATCAATAGAGTTCTGCACAATCTCTGCTAATGGAATGTCTCAACATTTGGTTGAACGTCAGACCTTTAAAGTTGACCATACAAAACAAGGTCCAGATGCTTTGTGCACTAAAAGAGATCCTTCTTCCAGAAGCCAGACTTGGATCATCCACCTGATGAACCAACAGAACTTTGACAATGTTGATCCTTATGGATAATCAATTAAACACTTGTGCATTCCACAAATAGAGATTGATCTTAAATCCATACAACTTGTCGAGAAGGCCAGATGATTACACTTCAGCAATACCAAGAGTATTCATTAGTATAACTATTTTTAATATTGAGACAACAAGGCTGCCACCCTTGACTCAACCTCTCTATAACTTCCTCTGCTGATATATTCCTTGCAAGTCATGAGTGGTGAAAATAAATCACCTCCCACTATCTTCTCTAGCACAGCTTCCAGCAATCTGTAGCACACAACAGAACAACCCAGGCACACAACCAAACACAACTGCAAACACCATCTTCCAATCATCTACACAGCTGCCACAACCATGCATCAAACTGAATATAGGCCAGTCTTCTCCCAGGGGCACCAGAGTTCTTTTATCAGAGATATATGCAGCGGAACCACCAAAAGAACATCTTCAACATGCCCTAACCAAGATGTTAGAACATTCAACAGATCATTGGACAGAAGTATCCACTCCCCTTTTGGAAGAACATACAACGGGTCATAGAAGCTCCTATATCAGAGGGCACAACAACATGTATAGACTCCTTAGCTCCATAAGCAGTAGCTCACACATTCAGCAAGATCAACAACTCAGCTACAACTTCTCCTTGTTCCAAAACACCAGAAAGTATCTCCCAAGATCTCATCCAGAACAGACAGGATGCCTGCTCTGATACCAATTGAAATTCTAGTATGCAGATCTCATATGTCCCACGAACATTGATCTCTGCTCAACAAGGACGAGGATAGACCATGGCCAATTTAAATTTCTTTAAATTGTCCCAATGTCATGACCAACGTCATGACCTCTGTTGTGACATCTGCATGCTGACAGACTATTTATCTAAACATTTAAATTGTGCAGAATTATAAATGTTGAAAGATAAATAACACAATAATTGTTTACCCAGTTCGGTGCAACATCACCTACATCTGGGGGCTACCAAGCCAGGGAGGAAATTCACTATTAGCAGAATCAATTAAAAGTCAAACAACCAGTTTGCACTTCTCACTTAATCTCTACCCAATGCAATTTCAGCCTAGAGACACTCTAGTACCTGAGTATACCCACTCACTCGCCCTCAATCACACAACAGTGATTTCAATACACAATTACACAACATTTATGGAGATACACTCCAAACACACACCATGATCTTGCTTCACAACTTTTGATCAATTGAGACACACTCTTGCTTAAAATCTTTGAGTGACATAATGCACACACATGTTCACAATAAACCAGAGCAATCATACAACCTACAATTTCTTGGCACACAAGGAATCCTAAGACTCCTAGACACGTGAAGAACAACCCTCTTCACTTACAATTATGTCTACCACAACGCATCATACAATGCAAAGTATGACTTACACACAAGGGACTCTCAAACCCTAGACCTTTATTCTACACTCTGGTTTTTCTTGATGTGAGTGCTTGTCTTTCTTCTGCTTCTGCTCCTCCTTTTATAGCAATGCAGACTGGGCTTGGGCTGGTCACAAGTAACAAACATTAGTTTTAACAAAGTAAAACTAATTTCCACAATTCAAGGTACTGTCAAATTAGGTCATGGCTTTTCATGATATGGTCAACACTGCCTAGAATCTCTCCTGAGATAACTCAGGAGTCATAACAGGTTTCCTGAAGTATAGCCTGAGTTTCCTCTTGCAATATAACAGAAAACCAACATGCCTGTTGTGTACGCCTGATGTCATATGCTCAATGTCATATGACATCCAGTATGACATCCAACTCTCTTTGTGCTTAGCTGACCAACCTTGCCCTGCTGAACACTCCTGCAGAATCTTCTTCATACCAGTAGAAACAAGCATATTATAGTTTCCTGAAAAGTCTCAAAGATCCTTTTTATGAATCCCAACTAAATCTGCACTTTGTTCCTACTAATTCTCTTTGACCTGAACATACTGATGAGGTATAATCAAAGCACTTCTGTCAAGTGATATACATTAGCAGCTCCTTCTGTTGTCATGCAACTATGCCCTGCTTAAAACACATGACAGCACACCCCACTCACCACCTGTGAGGAACTTCATCACAACTCAACCTATTGTGGCTACTGCTAACACATAGCAGCAGTGATACTCAGTATGACATCCATGACAACAGTTATGTCATCAGCTCCTGCTAGCTCCTTCTGCATCCATGACATCCATAATAACAGCTATGTCATCAGCTCTTGCTAGCTCCTGCTGCACCAGTAGCAATGTTATGAGTCATCAGCCCCTGCTTCACTACTACTCCTGCTATTTCTCACACATGACAGTAGTTCTGTCATGACAACAGATGGATGTTGTGATGGATGTCACGATATTCAGCATGACATTCACATTAAAACACTCCATAACAGTTCTGTCACCACAACAGATGGAGATGTTATAACATCCTGCTTATCATCAGTGCAAGATCATGTTTTACCAAAATTTAGTCAATCCTAGAACCATAGAACCATGGTACTAACAAAAATATCATTTGTATCTAGATAATTTCTGCTATTTGTGGATAATAATGTTATAATAACACGGTTGTTCCTTCTCAAAGAAAAGTCTGAACTAGGCCACATTTTTTGAAAATTCAATACCGTGATTCAAAGTTTCAAACCAAAATCCAAGTTCTAAAAATTGATAATGCAAGAGAATATTTTGAAACATCTCTTGAAGAGTCTTTGGAAAACCATGTGATCATCCACCGAAGCTCTTGTGTTGTCACCCCACGACAAAACGGGGTGGTAGAGAGGAAAGATATACATGTTCTAAAAGATGCTAGTTTTCTAATGTTCAACACACATGTTCCAAAATTCTTCTTAAACATAGAGAGGAAGGATAATAGTGACTTGCCTTCATTGTCTACAGCCCCAGCACTTCCAAGTCACACCTACAAAGATAAGTGCTTATACGTTTTAGTTCTTGGTTTATAGTCATTATCTACCCAAACCATACAGTTCAATCAGTTAATTACCAAATGTAAATTCATTTGTGGATAAACTCGAGGCAGAAAGAGTAGATACCAAAGCACAAGGACCTGGGATTGGAACGACCAGAACATTTTCACTAACACATAATTTGGCATGCATTGTTATCACCATGAATAAAGTTATGAAACAAAATAGAATAGAAGTGATGATAAGAATAAACAAGCACAGTAATAGCAGCACACTTACCAACTCCATACCAGGATCACTTATACTCGGCGTTCTAGCGTCACTTATAAGTGCCACAATCTCACCTTGTTTCAACCTTCTGAGCACAAGTTGTTCCCTTTGTGATTCATTGAATTTGTGATAACTCATCTGAAGATCTAGAAACGAGTATTAGAAAATGTAAATTGCAGTTATGCCAAACAGTGACGTATATTGACCTAGGTTTGCAAATAGAGTAGAAGGAAAAGGAAGAGTTACCAGGGGTGTTTTGATGTTGTAGTGATGAAGTAATTTCCCAGAGTGCCTTGTGTCTTCTGATAGTATAACATCGGCTGAGTTTAACACTCGAAGAGCCCTGAATGTGATGTCTTCAAGATTTCCGATCGGTGTTCCGACGAGATAAAGGTCGGGTTTCAGATGCTGCGGGCGACGATTATCCGGTTCGTGTTCCTGCAAATGAAGATTCAAACTCAGTGAATGATGCGAACAAAAAAACAATTGAATGAGTTAACTCTAGAAATGGCGTGAAAATGAAATTACATGTTTGTCTGGATGGTGAGTGAGATGGAGGTCAGAGGTGGAGCAGAAGGATAAAGGGGAGAAGGAGAGTTGCTTTGGAATGGAAGTGAAAACTTTAATGCAAGAATGTAGTGGAATTGGTGCAGCAGCGGAAACCGCCGTCCACGGCAAACGGCGAAGCAACATGGCTACTCTGATTTTGGTTTTGGTTTAGGGTGAAGTGTATGATTTCTGGATTTTATGTGAAGAATTCGAGTTTGATGAAGGGGTTTCTGGGTTCGTGAGAAGAGTTTAACAAAAGGAGTTCATTTGTTGAATGAATGGTTTGTTGTGAAGAAGAAGAGTTTGTAGTGAGGGAAGGGTTTGAATAAAACGTCTTAGGTCAGGTGAGCAATACCTGACTTAATAAACATGTTTTTTAAGTCAGTTAGTGAACACAGGCGACTTAAGAAATTTAATACGAATTATATTTTTTTTCTTTAATTTTTTTTAAGTCAGTTCTAAATATAGTTGACCTAACAATGTTACAAATGTTTACGAAATTGTCACCGCATCACTTCTTAAGTCAGGTGGCAGGTGAACTGACTTAACAACCTCTACTATAAAGTATTTTTTCTACTAGTGATGTCCACAACCAATTACAAAAATATTTTGATCACTACCAACAATAATATTATTACTCATATTAAAGTATTAAAAAAAAAGGTAGAATAAAAAAAAAATTTATAAAAAACATTATATGATATAAACATAATAAATTCACTCAATATAATCCTAATTTTCTATAATTCTCATCTTAAAAATATTTATGTTGCAATTTACTTAATGTTTATCTTGTATACGAGTGCGTCTCTCTCTCTGATATAGTTTAATGCTATAATTCTCATCTTAAAAACCTTTTTGTTGCAATTTGCTTAATGTTTATCTTGTATATGAGTGCGTCTCTCTCTGATATAGTTTAATGCATTATTTTCTATTAAAAAAAATCCATTTCAAGTAGGTACAAGGATATATAAGACGTTACAATCAAGAAGAAACAAGTGATAGATATGATGCTATTATCTCTTCAAATGACTGATCATTCTTATCTCTACCAGATTAGGATTTCAATAGGTTCATTGCTTGCCGGTGAACATTTCTATCAAATGTCAGTTCTAGAAAAATAACAACAATCAAATCTGCCACGTCCTCCATGCAATATCTTAACATTTTCAAGTGAAAGTATAGGTTTGAGTAAATAGGCTTACGTATAATTTTTTTCAAAAAAAAAAAGCTACGTGATTTTTTTTAGTTGAAAACATGTAAAAAAAACCAAATGCTACTTGAGATAAAAAAAAAGCTTAATGGAGCTAAGCTTATTCGGTAACGGAATTACCGAACATTGTGATTGCGTGCCGCTTAAGGCGACTTGGACGATTGTCGTTTTCTGCTTTTTTTTTTTCCCTCAATCATATGATGTTTTGATTATTTGGTAATACTCTTTTTTCATTGTTCAATTTGAAAAAGTAATTACTAATATAAAATTGCTGCAAAACAACATCATAATTGAGACTATACACCAAAACTTTTAATAAGGATTAAATGAGTTGGTTCAAAGATACCATTTGATCATTATTTCAATTTAATTGTGATTGTAGTTCAAAGATACCTGCAACCTTTTTTTTTCTTTTTAAAAACAAATATCATTGATAATAGAATACAAAGAGTATTCTAACACAATACAAAATTAAAGAACAAAAGATGAAATTTTCGACTAACACTAAAGCTAACCTATGCAATTCAATGGGTTAATATAAAAATTTAAAAAATTAATAATCGAAAAGTTTAATTGGTATGCATTGACAATGTAAAATAATTTTACACTGTCATCTAATAAAAATTTAGTAATGTGACATGTCATTTCGTTAACTTAAAAAGTGCAATCTAATGTGGCAGGATACACGAGAGTGATTGGTTGACAGTGTAAAATAATTTTACATTGTCAATGCATACCAATTAAATTCATGTTCGAACTGCCAATTTCTCCACAACAAGTCCACCTCCAAGCAAAAAGTTTTGCATTCCAATATAAATCATTAACATTACAAGGAACCTCTTTAAAGATTCTATCATTCCTAGATTTCCAAATACTCCAACATACTGCCAACCAGATAATCCCTAATATGCAATGATACTTCTGCCGATTTCCTAACCTACACCAGCTCAAAAAAAAAAACTTCCAACAACAACCTGCATATGAATCCAAACAGTCACTCCAAACTCCCAACTTATCCCAAACCTGCAATGAAATCGGACAGTCGAAAAATAAATGCTCAAGAGTTTCGTCATGTTGTTCACAAAGGACACCGTCTACCTAAACTCGGTACTCCTCTTTTAGACAACTGATCCTTAGTAGCAACTCTATTGCAAAAGACCCCTATCCAAAAATCAATATCCTCGCAGACATTCGGATCTACCAAAGACATAAGGACGCATTAACCTGGCCCGCCAGCAATAGCGCCGGATTGCTCGTCTCCGACAGTGTTACGTACGTTTCTTTAACAAAAAAACCAGTCTAACATCCTCCTTCCACAACACCATGTCTGCCACACCATACGACAGCCGAACATCTTCCAGAACACGAGTTAAATTCTGAAACTGCTCCTGAAACGCCTCCTGGCTCTGTATTGAGATTCCAAAATCATTCCAAGTCCAATTTCCTTCACACCAAAATTCCATATTGCCTACAAACTCATTCTTACTCTTAGAGGCCTGAAACAACTCCTTAAACAACATTGTCAATGGCAAAGTACCCGCTCACACCCCAGACAAAAAAAGGGTCATATGACCATCCCCCACTTTATGCGAAATCAAACCTGCGAAACTAAACCCCAGGTTAGCATAATTAAAACCAATGGCAAGTAAATTCTTCCACCAATTAGAACCATTTCTCCAATTCTCACAGCACTCCTCCTGTAAAACCAAATTCTCGATCCTACCGTATTTCGCCATTAAAACTCTTTTCCATAAAGAGTTTCTATCCACCAAGATTCTCCACCTCCACTTAGAAACAAGAGCAAAATTAAACTCTTTAATACTTTTAATCCCAAGCCCTCCCTCGTCCCTCTTTTTACAAACCGATTCTCAATTCGACCAATGAATTTTGTTTTTCGCTTCAGCTTCTCCCTAAAGAAAGTGCTTTCGAATTTTGTCTATATACCCTGAAACACTCGCAAGTGCTTTAAAAAACGAAAGAGTAAACACAGGGAAGCTAGAAAGAACCGAATTAATCATAGTTACTCTCTCAGCCAAAGAGAGAATCCTACCACTCCAAGATGCCAACTTTGATGCGAGTTTATCCAACAAAGGTTTCCAATTCTTAATCCTTATAGGATTACTACCAATAGGAATACCCAAGAAAGAAAACAAGGCACCTTCAATTTTGCAACTTAAGAAATTTGAAGCAGCCAACAAAGAATGAGTACTCACATTTATGCCAATAAGTATGCTTTTGTGGAAGTTCACTGCCATCCCTGACACAAGTTAAAAGCCTCTAAGAATCGCCTTTATAGACCATAAATTCTTACCCTTCTCTTCCAACTATCAAAGTGTCATCCGCAAACTGAATCAATTCCACTGAGGTCCCTTCATCCAAGTTGAACCCGTCGTGATCGCCAAACTTCACCGCCTGTTTAAACAACCCCGATAATCCTTCAGCCACAATAACAAACAAAAAAGGAGAAAGCGGATACCCTTGACGTAATCCTCTACTAACTTCAAAGTCTTGAGCTAGGCTATCGTTAACAAGTGTAGACAAGTAACAATTAAAAATACATGCTTCCATCCAACGCATCCATCTACCGCCAAACCCCATCCTTTTTAACATAAAACACAAGAAATTCCAATTAACACAGTTGTACACCTTTTCAAAATCAACTTTGAAAGGGACACACTCCTTTTTATCTCTCGTAGTTGAGTCTACTACCTCGTTAGCTATCAAAACCTCATCCATCATCTGGATCCCAGGAACAAAGGCAGACTGACACTCCAAAATTAAACTACCAATGACCTTTTTTAATCTATTTACCAATAACTTAAGCAACTATTTTGTAAAGGCAGCTAACCAAACAAATCGACATGTAGTCACTTAATGAAGAAGGATGAAGAACCTTTTGGGATAAGAGTAATGAAAGTCGAAGTAACCGCTTTATGAAGAAACGTTTTACCATGAAAATCCTACACAAACAAAACTATATCCTTTTTCAAAATATGCCAACACTTTTTAACAAAAGCAAAATTAAACCCGTCGGGACCGGAACTTTTATCGCCTTCACAACTCCAAACCGCACCCTTTATTTTCTCTTTAGTAAAAGGATCCTCCAAAAGTTGGGCATCTGAAGAAGATAAATATTTGAATTGAATGTCATCCAAAGAAGGCCTGTTATACTCCTCTTTAGAAAAAATTTCCTTAAAAAAGTTTTTAACAGCCTCTTTCACTCCCACAACAGATTCGACACTACCGTTATCCGTCTCCACCCCACCAATGAGTTTTCTTCTAAGTCTCCCTTTCATCAACTTATGAAAATATGTAGAGTTGATTTCTCCTTCTCTATTCCATTTCACCCTTGCCTTTTGAAGAAGCATATTATCCTTGATAAAAAGATTCATCCACATTGCTGCCCTCATCCAAAAGTAACAGATTATCCGCCTCATCAATCAACTCCACCTCATCTTCCACTTTAAGATCATACCAATCAAAGATTTTTCTATTCCACTTCTTAAGGCTTTCTCTCAGCTTTTTAAAATTTTCCTTAATGGAACTTGCACCTTAATGACGAAGATTTGTTGTACTATGTGTTTAACAAAGAGTGTTTTAAGCGGTCACATGATAATAATTGTGTTGGTGTAACACCCTTTTTCTACCCCAAAAATATCAAGGCAAAATAACACATAAGTCAGAGTGAATAAATAAATCTCATTAAAAAGCCACTAAAAGGGCGTACATTTCTCAAAGTCATCAAAATAGGTAAATAGGTCCATACTCCGTAGCTACGAGTTTTTTCCAAAGTACATCAAAACATCATAAACAGCGGAACTCAAAACATAAATCAAAGTTTTCCTCAAAAAGGGAGATTAATCAAAATAACGTCAACAGTATAAAATCAACTCAAGGAACCCAACCCGATGTTACATATCAGAGCATGACC